ACTGAAGTGGCAGCTGCAGTTGTTCCTGTGGTGTGGGCCAGTGGAATTGCAGGAGAGTGGAAGAGGCAGAAGCTGTAGGTATTACCCCTGATGTGGGATCTCTCCTGGTAAGGCCAAGCCAGTATCCTTTAAAATCAGAATGCCAGACTGGATTGGTTGCAGTAAGAGCTGAATTTGCTCCTCCTGGTTTGCTTGTAGAAGGTGAATGCAAGAACCCTCCAAGAAAACCAATGGCCCAGGGGATTGATGAGTGCAGGACCTGAGAGAACCCCCTGAAATGACAACCTCGAGTAGTTTCCAGTCTTGGATTGAAAAGATGGCCTTTGCTGCATCTCCTGGAGCAAGGAAAGCCAAGAAAGCTTTGCTTTGGAAGGAGAAAATGGGGAAGCAGGAAGGAAGAAGAGAAGCCACGTGACTCCTCCCTGAGCCCCAGACAGCCCAGGAACTGCCTCCCTGGGAATGGTGGGACGGGCTGGACTCTGGAATGCTCCCTCTGGATGTGTGGTAAGACTGTGATGCTGACTTTTAAGAACAGAACCTGTAAGAATTTGCTGCCTTGACTGGTTGGTGCAAGGGCAGCCTTTAAGCAGCTGAAGCATTCCCTGAGGAGAGCTCTGGGTCTGCCAGATGTCTCAGAACTGTTGGAAGCATCTTTGGTGGGGAGGGCAAAGAAAGGACAAGGTGTGCAGTGACCCCCTTGACAAGGGACTTGCAGTTCATGGCATCCCTGATGGTGACCTTTGTGGGCTGTTCCCCCTGTAGGGAACAGGTGTGATAGTCCCAGCTACAGGGATGGGAAAAGTGGTTAAAAGGGAGGCCCAAAAGCTGGAAATCCTCCTGGAGGCTCTTGGCAAACAGAGTTTCCTGAGTTCCCCCTGAAAGAAGGACAGTGATAGCTTTTAATAGATAGCCTTGAGTGTGTCCTTGTTGCCCCAGTAGGCCTTGTCCAACTCCCCATACTCCAGGAGATATACATACTACAGTTTAAAATGCTCTTCCTAATCCTTTGGTGGCTTGAGGCTCTCCCCTGCAGGAACTCCAGGAACTCCTGGTGCCGCCTGGGCCGATGGATTGGACGCCCCAGCCCCTCCGTTCCTGCCCAGCCCCTGGGGCCGTGTCGAGTGGTGGCACTGCCAGCCCCTGCAGGTGAGGGGGAAAGGGCCTTTGCAGGTCTTGGGGATCACATTTATAGCAGGTAAAGGGGCAGAAAAAGGCCCTGGGGTCTGTTATTCTTGAGTTAAGAAAGCTCCTTTGGATTGGTGAGCAGAACAAAGTGGATCCTTCAGAGTTCCCATGTGTGTTTGTGTCTCAGCCTGTGTTATGATTCAGGGCTGTCAGTTGTTGTCACTGAGGAGTCAAACTCTGCTTTAAATAATGAGACACTGGCCTGATGGCCCAGTGTCAAGGAAAAAGGGGGAATGAT